CTGGACAAGAATTTGCCGTGCGTGGTGGTCATGCCTCTGAGCGGCGCCGTGAAGGTCAAAAAGAGGAGACCCCTAGTTGCGGGCTGGCTGTATCCCGAGCAGCGGACGAACCTTCAAAAGAAATGGTTAGCAACTGGACGTTTCGATCGTCCGACCTCCGGGTTATGAGCCCGGCGCGCTTCCGCTGCGCCAAGTTGCTTTGTTCGATGTTGAGATGAGGCCAAAGATTGCCGTACTATGTAGTCATCGTGAGATGGAGCAAGCAGTGACCGGCCCGCTTGGTGGGCGACGACGTGGGTCTCGTCCGGGTTCAGCAACCGACCAACGAGCCCTAGCTCGAAGACGTGGCCCATCAGGCGAGCGGGTGCCTGGTCATTCAAGCCAGTGACGACGGGGGAAACGGTCTTGTCGTTGATGCTGACACGCGTGACGGAAGGGGTTCGAGGGGACCTTGGGTACACATAGGTTCCTGAGGTTGACGGCGGCCTCTCCGAGTCTTTCCCGATCGAGCACAACGCGCCTGATTCAGCCACCACTGATTGGCCTCGAACAGTACTCAAGCACTTGGTCATGCAGGTATTGGCATCAGTCCGTGGCTTCCGTAATGCCCGTTACATGTAGGATAAGGAACGCAGCCTGCATTTGCCTGCTTTACCACCTTGGTCCGGACTGCGTTGGTGTCCTGGACGAATTGGCCAGTTGGCCCATCTACCTCAAGGGTATGGCTACACAATCTTCTCCTGTCCCCACCACGCCGCACCGCCCCCGCTTCTTGACTCTCTGCGTCCCACCCGGTCACAAAAGCACAACACCCGTTGAAAATCTCACGATACCCACTGCTTGCGACAATTGTTCGCTCTCCCTTGCCGGTCAACATGATCGCCGCAGATGGGCCCATCTCTCATCAAAGCGTGAATGGTTTAGTGGTAAAATTCTCCGTTGCCATCGGGGAGCCCTGGGTTCGATTCCCAGTTCACGCAGCGTGGCATCAGCAGCATCACAGCATTATCATCATCAGACGTGTCGCTGAGATTCTGGGTTCCTTTTTTGGTGCTTTGCTTCGGCGTTCTGGTCCAGACATCATCACATTGACGCTGTTGGGACTGATTAAATAATGAACCATTACATGGACAATAGACATCCTGCGTTGGGACACTGTTTCAGGCCTTAAACGACAGTTGTGAGGAATAATATGCATCTTGACTGACGAGTGAGGCTGTCCCTGTTGAGCATTGTGTTCGAGGATGTGGGCTCATGAACCCAGTATGACACTGCCTAGATCCTCTGGCAGGTTGCAAGTGCTGGCAAGTTGTCTCCGATGCAAGCAGCCCAAAATCGGTGTGAACCTCTCGGCTTCATATCAGCGTCGATTTGTGTTTGCCCCGTGGCAAAATTGGAAGCACAGAACAAAAACGTATGTCAGTGACGGCCCACCGTGTTACATCATTTGAATGGGATGGGATTCGAACCCATGCCTACGAAGTAGACTAGCACCTGAAGCTAGCGCCTTAGACCGCTCGGCCACCCATCCTAATGTTGGTTGTTGAATGCAGTCCCAGTAAGCTTACCTATATTCTCAGATCAGATCATGCTCCCCACTGACAGTCCTGACCACAAGAACTCTTATTCTCGCCACTGTGCGATTATAAGGGGATTTACAGGTGGAGGACATCTCTGAGTTTTACAAGAGACGGAGACGGTGGCAGGTTTTGGCGGGTTAGCCTGCAATCCCCGGCCATGAGACTCTCGCACAATCCTTCTAGGGGCGAGAACATTCAAGCAACAGCCAGTCCCACGCCCATGTCGGACGGAACCTCCAGATCTGCGGATGCGGGTTCTACGCCCGTCTCTTCATCATGCATCATGATCTCTTTTGATCGCACGTTGCATCCAAACCCACTTCGAGGCTGAGGAGACAATGCATTTCATTCTTGCGCCCCAATGATGTCCCGGCGCTTCAGTCCCGAGTGATCGATCAGTCGCCAGAGGACGATACGGGAGTACCCCGCACCCGACGTCAGATGCTCTGTGGAATGTCTGGGGAATGCGCTGAGGATCTACATGAAGGCGACCAAAAGGGCAGCTCGGTGATTTTAGCATCTAGTTCCGGCACTTGCTCGCCATTGCTGAGGATCGGATCATTACTATGCGGAGCCATTGTTGCCCCCTCGTTTCGTCTGGGGCGCCGGAATTCGTTTTGGGGTGAGAGTCTCAAGAAGAAGATATATAACGCCTGGTTGGGTATTTATGAGTGTGATCTTCAGGTCAGAGAATGGCCTGGTCCTTGCTGATTAGCGGACAAGTTGACTCCTCAAGACCTATCATCGCATCCCGGAAGACTGCAGGCTGCCCAGCATGCCATTCCTCGCACCAGGTTGGCCATCAGCCATCATCAGCGTGCTTGCCGCTTCAGTCCTCGGTCAGGGAACGAACTTCCCTCCAGACACACTAGGACTTAAGAACGGCTTTGTCGAGATCGATACACCCAACTTGAGCGCCCGCATTGTCCGGGATGCCCAGGTCCTAGCCTCTCTTCGTGTGACAGGAGAGAGCTTCGACTTCCTACCCTTCGATTACCTCGACCGCCGCAACCGTGATGGCCAGTATCATTGGGGTGACATCACCTACCGCTACCGCGAAGAGGGGAGCACAGCCTGGATCGACGGTGACTCGGCGAAGAAGCGACAGCCCGTCGAGTCCCTCAGCCTTGGGGGTGCCCTCGCTGCGTCAGGCTTGGGGCCGACTCTTCCAGCAAGCCCACTGAACATCACTCGTGAGTGGCTCGAGGTGGATGGCGACCTTGGACTCCGCTTTACAATCGTCAACACCGGGGACGCGACCCTCGAGCTCGGCAGCCTCGGCTTCCCGGCCGAGTTCAACAGCATCTTCACTCATCGCGAACCCCTCGAAATGCAGAAGTCTTGCTCCCTATCGGACCCGTACATCGGTCTCGACGCTGGTCAGATCCGCGTGACGCCTGTCAACCCGGTCCGTGGCTCTCGCGCTGCCCTCGTTGTTACACCGCTGGGGGGCACGAGCACACCACTCGAGGCATATCGCAATCTAGTAGAGCCATCATTCCAGGACACAGGCTACGGGAGTCAGACATTCGAGGGCTTTTACGAATGGCAGGTCTTGTCCCAGGCGTGGGCCGAGAAGGAGTGGGCCGCGGCCGAGCAAGGGCCCTGGAACAACCCTTCGTCACGGACCCTTGAGTCTGGTGGAACCCTGCAGTTCGGGCTTCGCTTCACGGTTGCAACTGACGGCGTCCGAGGCTTCGATGACGCTGTCCGTAAGACCGGTACGCCTACTGCACTGGGCATACCGGGATACCTCCTCGCAAGAGATTTGCCGGGTCAGTTGTTCATCAACGCGTCATCCGAAATCAGCTCCTTCTCTTCTGCGCCGGCCGGCGCTCTACGTGTTGCGGAGAATGACAATGGTGGGTATACAGTAACTCCGTCAAGTGCGGAATCCGCATGGGGTCGTGTACGCCTGACGGTCAAGTATGCCGACGGCAAGGTGCAAACCATCCATTACTTTATCACCAAGCCGACCAGCGAGGCGCTCGCCGATATGGGCAGGTTTCTCTTCAATGATGCCTGGTTCACTGATGAGTCAGACCTCTTCAACCGCACGCCTTCTGTAATGACCTACGACTACGAGGCTGGCGCCATCGTTGAGCAGGACTCGCGAGCCTGGGTGGCTGGACTCAGCGACGAGGGGGGTACTGGAGCCTATGTCGCTGCCGCCATGAAGCAGGTCTTGCAACCAGATGCCGAAGAGGTCGCGAAGTTGGACGAGTTTGTCAACAAGGTTGTCTGGGGCCAGATCCAGCTCGAGGACTATTCAGTGCGAAAGTCCATATTCTACTATGACCCCGATCGCATTGATTACAACTACAGCTCGAACATTGACTGGACAAGCTGGACGTCGTGGAACCGAGAAAACTCCTACTTCATCGACCGCGCCTACAATTATGTTCACCCAGCAGCCGTATACTGGGTTTTGTATCGCGTCGCGAGAGCGTATCCTGACTTGGTAAGCCATGACTGGTCATGGTACCTTGAAAAGGCCTGGGGAACTGCGCACCGCATGACGGATTCCGAGATATGGTACAATGATATGGGTTTGATGGGCGAGACGGTATTTGGTTTCATCTTACAAGATCTCTTTCGCGAGGGCGAGACGAATAAAGCAGAGCAGCTGGAAGCAAGAATGCGAGAGCGTGCTCAGCTTTGGGACTCGCAGGATGTACCTTACGGCAGCGAAATGGCATGGGACTCGACTGGACAGGAGGGTGTCTACTACTGGACGAAGTAAGTGCCGCTTCATCGGCCTGGTATCCTGCAAGATACTGACAAGTGTGATGTAGACATTTCGGCTTCGATGGGTCAGCTGCGCAAACAGTCGACAGTGTTCTTGGATATATGCCGACGGTCCCTCACTGGGGCTGGAATGGATGTGCCCGTCGATACTGGGACTTCATGTAAGTGGATGCTGTTGATTGGAGCGAAGCGCGCAGAGCATTTGACTAAGCCCCAGCCGCAGCTATGGTGGGAAACTGCGGCGCATTGAGCGACAGATCCATCACTACGGATCCGGTCTCAACGCGCAGGTTCTTCTCGCTGCCTTCCGCGATGATCCGAGCGATTCATACCTCGTCCGCGTTGGATACGCAGGCTCCTCTGCACCCGTGTCAAACATCAACCAGGTTGGTTTCCCCTCGGTAGCATATCACGCATGGCCAGACACCCAGAAATGGGACGGCATAACAGGAGACTACGGTGGGGGGTTCCTGGGCATGGCGCTCAGTGGTGGCGTGTACGTGGCAGACGACTCAGAGGTCGGTCTCGTGGCCTACGGCGGTATCCTCGATCGTCAAGCAAGCTCTGTCACAGTACAGCCGAAGGACGCAGTGAAGCGACGCGTCTACATCGGTCCACTCAGCATCTTGGTCGAGATTGACGCCGGCATGGTGGAGGAGTTTTCATATGACGGTGAAAGCGTGACGTTGAACGTCAAACAGCCGGCGGATGGCCCAAGAGCTCAATCGGTCATTGTCTGGATTGATTCGCGAACTGAGAAGCAGTGGAGAGTGATCAGCAATGGGGCGGTCGAGGCACGCGGTGGTTGGCAGACAAGTTTCGGCGACGATGGGGCTACAATCAAGCTTGTGTCGGTCTAAGGTAGACGGGTTCGTTTCAGGGACGCATTGTCAGTTGAGATTTGGCAGTCTGCCGAGATTATAGTCCTTTCAAAGAAGAGATGGGGGAAGCATGACATGTCGATCTTTGTCAAAGGCATTAAGCATGTGGTTCCTCGTGAGACCTGGTGACTCGAGGGCGCGGACTTATTCGACGGCTGTCTCTGCACAGCAATGGCGTGGCTTCCGCGAGCGCATCTGAGTTGAAGTCAGAGAGCCACCGATTTTCGGCCAGCCGCTGTCACTCAAGCCTCGTATGTACTTGTTCAATCGTGTCCGTGCCATAGAGCTAACCGGCAATCACGGCTCGCGGCTTGACCCTCGCCATGCGAGGCAATTGGTGTTCAGGTGTTCTTCGACAGCCGTGCCTCTGACTCTGCGCCTCCGTCATGTTGAGGTAGTTCCTGGCGACTCATCGGCGGACATTGGGTATTCCAATCGGACGACGCAGAAGTGCACAAAATGGATGTATGCCTTGCCGTAGGAGGAAGTCCTTGCTCAGGAACCGCCTGACTCTTCTGACAGCGGAAAGAAAGTTATGCGGATTAGAAGGATCAGTGATCATGAGAGTTCAGTGGTGCTGGTCGAGACCTGTTACCAAGTCTCTGGAGGTCGACTTCGGACGAGGCATGGCCAAGTACTTCCGCATATTGACCTCATCAGGTTCTTTGTTCAGCTCCGCAGCCTTTTCGACGGGGTTTTGGGCCCAGAAGAAGCCACTCGGAACTCTCTAGCACGTGAGAAGCCCGTGCTGCGTAGGTACCACCTTATGGCTACCTTACGCCCAGACCATTTTTCCATGCCACCCCAACTCTCGCCCGAAGTCACACACCACACACTCATCAAGGTACGTAGGTACACAAAGAGATGGCCTGCTAGCCACTCCACGGGCTTGCGCTCCCACTTATCTCCTCTAGTCCATCTGATCTTCGAGTCCCGCTGCCCAGCTGTGCCGTGAACGCAACGTGAACGACCGAAAACGATCCTCCCACAATCGAGCAGACCGACCTATCTATCTTTTACGTGTCATGCATGGTTCCTTTTCAGGCGCCTTCTTAAGTCAGCCTGTAATAGCGTGGCATACAAGTTGAAGCGAACTGCCCCATCACTCGACGTGCTCTTACCTATCGACATGGCTCGCCCAAGGAACGAATGGAAAGAGCGTCAGGGTCGAGCATCCAGCCAACATCACATCGTTTGCCTCTCGTGGTAGACCTCAATATCCGAATCCTGTCATTCAGCCCCGTACTATTGATGACCAAGATGGTCTATGCCATTGGCTTAGCCTCAGGCGTCCTTCCCACAATCAGAACAGCCTTCGCCTCATCGTTCCTTGTTCGGCCTAGCCCGCCAGGCTACTGCAACGAGTACCGACCGAGCTGACTTTCCTTCTGTCGCTTGCCGACCACAAAGAACCCACAGCATGTTCATTTCTCTTTGACCCCCCCTCCCCGGACTACCCGATTATGTCTATTGCCGAGCCTCGATACCCTTCCCACTGGCCTGGGAAGAGGGTTACATTATCCCAAAGTGCCCGACGTCAGGGTGGGCTGCCTCGGATGTGACAGGCATGCAAGACCAGCACGACTTGGGCGATCCTCGCTGTGGGAGCTTTCAGCTACAGACGCTGTATTTCTGCCACGCGCAGCACGTGAGGCTCGTCGAAAAAGGACTTCCCCAGGGTCATTCTTTGTTTTCCCCACCTCGACTGTTGGTCTCCAGTAGCCTGGGCTCTTTGTTTCCCAGGACCTTTTTTGCTTCCATCTTGGTGTGGTCAGCTCTCTAAGACATGTCTGGGATCTGGACCCGGCTCCTGGCTCCTGGCTTCTAGCTTTCTGTGGCTCTCTGACCATTCTCGCAGCAGAATCAGCTGAGAGTGCGGGATGTGTGGTGACCGTCAGGCAGCTGAGCTGACCGTCCCTGGTGCCTCCAAAGTCTCCGCTCAACCCAGTCGTAGGCACTGCGCGCGCCCGGTGAGCGACTCTTGGTGACACGCCGGACCTGCATCTCACTTCGTAACTGTCGTGCAGAAGGACAGAAGAAATCATGCCATCCGATCGAAAAGTGCCACGCTCGGATGGCTTAACGGTGACAATGCGCACCTCCGTCTCCTTCAGGTGGTCATCCAACGGCCTTTAGCACACAGCTTGCTCATGATCATCCGGGCTGCCACCCTGCCACCTCACCCATGGCGCTCGATAGCTCCGACGATCATGGTCCAGCCCTAGACGCCCTGGGCACCATCTCGACTCGCTCCCTGCCTGTGCAGTCATTCATCGAGCCAGCTAGTCGGTGAGGCCAGCGAAAAGGGCGGCACAATAACCATGTGGCTCCAGTCAGATCGGTGCGGAGCCAACGAAGCTTACCTCTCTGCAGCCCAGTGCTGACTGGGAGACTTTCCAGGCCCAGGCCCGCCATGCCCGCAATACGAGACTATGTGGTGGGTGGACACTGAGAGGGGGGGGGGCATACAAACAGTTACTGGCTTTAGCCAATTGACAAACAATCGACAAAGTCGCTCTTGGGGGTTGATTCCGTCCGCACCAGGGCGCATCGCACTACCCCGGGTGCTCTAACCCCTGTCCGGAGGGAAAGGGGTCCAGCCAGAGTATGTCTGCTAATTCGGGATCAGCAAGAGGTTCCCCTTCCCGTCCTTTGTTCTTCGGCTTGGTCCCTGGAGTGGGCCTTGTGCCTAGCCAAGTAACTGGCGAGGCCTGAGCCAGGTAGCCGGGAACGACCTTTCGGGGCTGGCAGTCTTAGCTTCCGACAGATGTGTATACGCTCCAGAGAAAAGAACGGTCGTCTCGATGCCCCTGACAGCGTCAGACGACTGCTGGTCGACAAGCGGCTCGACAGGGGATTGAGCTCGCTTGTAAGCCTCGGGGCTGATGGGCTCGACCACGCGAGGTCAAGCCCTCCATGTCCACGCAGCTATCGACATGTTCGAGGACGGGCAGATATAAAGAGCAAGTCACCAGCCTCAACTCTCCGGGGATTGTGTCTGTCATCACCATCCTCACCTGATCAGTAAACCACCTCCTACGCCCCCATCTTCCAGAACGGGCAACGCACCAAACACTGTCATCAGTCATTACGCTGGAAATGCCCCAGCCTGCCACCACTTAGCTTAGTACTTCATTTGCACCATGCATCTTTCTACCATCTTGACAACAACAGTAGCCCTGGCCTCTGTGCCGGGCGTGCTCGGACACCCGGGCATGGGTAAAGCCCTCGGCGAGATCATGTCACGACAGGCAGATGAGGGCGACTCAACAGAGCTTCTCGGCGACCTTGTCACTCTCAAGGACAAAGATCTCACAAATGTTGGCAAGGATATCAAGAAGTTGCTCACCGGCAAGGGCAATCCTGAGTCCAATGAAAAATACACAAAGGTTCCCCCCAAGAACTCGGCAGCGTGCAAGGCGGACACTTGCTGCATTTGGAGCTACATCGCCAAAGACATGTATGGCTTCATGGCTGGCCAGTCGGGTCGCTGTACAAAGTGGGCCCGTTTTGCCGTCCGCATGGGATTCCACGACGCCGCCGGCTGGTCCAAGTCTACAGCCAGCCAAGGCAATGGCGCAGACGGCAGTATCATTCTCAGCAAGAGCGAGCTGGATCGCTCCGAGAACAATGGTCTGCAGGAGATGGGCGCTCGCTTCCAACAAATGTATGACAACTACCGAGGGCAGGGTTGGGACATTGGCATGGCCGACCTCATTCAGATGGGCGCCAATGTTGCCACCGTGACATGCCCTCTTGGCCCCCGCATCAAGACCTATGTTGGCCGCAAGGACAGCGCCACGCCCGCTCCCGACAACCTCCTGCCAGACGTTAATGCGGATGCCGACAGCCTGATCGCGCTGTTCCGTGACAAGACTATCGGCCCGCACGGCCTCGTCGCCCTTGTCGGCGCACACACGACGAGCCAGCAGATGTTCGTGAACGAGTCCCGCGCTGGTGACCCTCAGGACAGCACACCCGGCGTTTGGGACGTTAAGTTCTACCCTGAGACGACGGGCAAGGCACCAGCGCGTGTATTCCGCTTCCCCAGCGATATTAAGCTGTCGCAACACCCTACAACGAAGAAGGAGTGGAAGGAGTTCTCTGGTGGCGGCGGACAAAACCACTGGAACGAAGACTACGCCCGCGAATACATCCGACTGTCTCTCCTCGGTGTCAACAACATCAACAAGCTGACCGAATGCACCAAAGTCCTGCCGCCCACCACCAAGAAGTTCTCGCCCTCTGATCAGCGCAAGGTCGAGAAGTGGCTCAACAACACTGATCGCAAGGGCAAGGCGGCCAAGATTGCGGAGAACCTGCTGGCGGGCGACCTTGTCGTGGACGAGGTTCCTGCCACAGCGAGCCCCACGGCACCTGCTGCCGTGACGCCGGCGGCTTGATGGAGAGAGGATTCTGCATTAAGAACTGGTAGGCGTTTTCGGTGATATGGCAACGATGCTGGGAATCTGGCCCATCGACACATGGGGTAATCAAATAAACTTAGTAGTAATGAAATACATGATAGATGAATTATTGTTAAACAGTTAGCAACAAGTTGCACAACGTCCAGAATCTGTCTCGGAGTGTTTCTACCTTGTCCCCTACCTTGCAGGACCTTACCTAGGAGGTGTGTACAAATCCCCTACGTCACCCAGGTGGCACCAGTCGGCCTAGTTTAGTATCCTCGGCTCCGCGTAAAAACAACGGCCTGAAACAGGGCAGGGCAGGTGGAAGTAGAAGGAAGTGCATACGCAAAGCCAAATGACCGACGTTGGGTAGTGCAAGAGGCGGTTCCGTACCTGTAATCAATTTACCTTACCACTTCACTTCACAGCACTCCCCCTCCCCCTCTTCCCCCCAATCCGGTCGCCTCCAGATTTCTAGCCATGGGCCACCACAATATTCGTTACGTTGGCGATCCGAATGCCGACTCAGGTTTCTGGGGCACTCCGACCAGCGTGGCCAAGTAGGACCATCTCGTGCCAACAGGGCCCCTCAGAAGCATACTGATTATTGCCCAGCTTCTGCGAGGAAGACTATGCCGTTACAAGCTACATAGCCGAATTCATCAACACCCTGACCAACTTATCTTACAGTCTGTGCCGACTCTATCCCAAGATGAGACCATCCTCCATCTGACCTGCTGTAGTTTACTATGCTTTCCGCTACGCAAAGAGTGCCAATCCTGTAAACCCATGGTATCGGAAGATGGACTTCATGGCCTTCTCCCTCGTCTGCGTCGGCGTCACGTCCGCCATGTTCCACGGCACCATGCGTCAGGCGCCTCAGCTCATGGACGACCTATCCATGCTCCTCCTTGCCGGTGCCCTCCTCCAGCCCATTTACGCCCTGAACCAGACGCCTTTTCACCGCGTGCTCGTCGCGTTGACGCTGACCTTTGGCATTGGCACCGTGTCCGTCATCTACGCCCGCAGCGGCCGCATCGTCATCCACATGTGGACCTTCATCACGCTGCTGACGTTCATCTGGCCACGCACACTATATCTGGTGCGCAAGACGGGGTATTCGGGGGCGCAGAAGAGGGTGCTGATGCGAAGCTTTGCGCGCGCCGGCTGGGCTCTGCTGGCAGGGTACGCGCTGTGGAACGTCGATCTAGAGCTATGCCTCGGGTTGAGGGCCCTGAGGGACAAGGTGGGCATGCCATTCAGCTGGGGCTTAGAGCTGCATGGCTGGTGGCATTTCTTAACGGCGCTGGGCGCGAGTCACTACATCCGGCTCGTCAGAATGTTGACGGGAGAGGAGCCGATCAAGGTGACGCCAGAGGACGAGGCGGTTGTGAAGGCACATAGGCAGGAGAAGGAGGCCAGGCACAAGAGGTGATGAGGATGGCTGGACGACGCAGAATCTGTACGGTGTTTGTTGTCCATGGATAATATGGGCAGTCAAACTTGACAACATAGAATCCAACCTTGTAGACGAAATAAGAAGGCATCCAGTTCGCGACTAATCTATGTAGTGTTCGACTGGAGCGCCGTCATCATCATCTTCATTACAATCGACTAACACACATGTTGATCAGTAAAAAAAGCCACAATTGATGGGTCTACTAATTCCCATGGTTCGGGGGCTAGGACACGAACATTAGGTCCGTCAACATAGAGCTACCTCACAGGGCTACTTTGCATAATTCATGAGAGACACTTTGAATAGCAAGGCAACCCTCTGTCGTTTGCGAGGCAATCATTTGATGCCACGACTGACTGATCGCTCACGTGTAGTGTGTCTGATACCGAAGTCTTCCAGCTTCAGCTCCGCTCAAGCATTTGCATTCAACAACAACACATCACCCGAAAGAAAGGAGGTTGTGCAAATATCATGCAAGGGAAAACCTCCAGCAGCAAACTCGGGAGCAAGGGTCAACTCGACAAACACATCTGGACGACGCAGTTCACCCGACATCACGTGCACACAGAGGGAGACCCAGTGGGAGAAAATTCTCATTTACGAGGCCCCCACAATGCGGATGCTGTAAGCTTGATTGGCCAAATATGCTGGCCGGCCACGAGTGGGTCAGCACCTCAGATCGCCTATAAAGTTGTCGACGCTGACTGCCCGTTTCACCTTTTCTCTTTTTCTTCTTCATGTCGACAATACTTCAGTAAGCCACCCCCTACCAGGAGCATCACCAGCGCCTACGCATGACAGCCTCGCAAGACAGCAGCTAACCCATTTCTCAGGAGAATCATTTCTATAGTATTCGACCTACTCTGGGTTCTCCAAAAGAGCCACAGATCCCACCCTGGTTGATGATTGATATCCTCGGCACCCTAGAGTGAATGGCTCCGGTTGCCCTCCAACTGCCTGCAAAGGTGGCGGCTCTTCTTCTGGAAAGCTGTATAGAGGGCGTTTGATGATCTCGTCCCTGTCTTGTGGTCTTGCCTTTGGGCGCGCAAACGGGGTGGGTGCTGACGGACGTCTGACAGGCGTGTCTTTTTTCTCATTTTCATTGCGCATCGAGCTCCCCTCGGTCGTGAAGAAGATCGCTGGTTGGCACCAAGCTTTACAAGCAGTCACGCGTGACAATCTACCAAGCAAACGCCCCCTTCCCCCTCCCGACAGACTATCGCTCCCCGGTCCCATGTCCTTCCTCGCCGGCGATCCCCTCGTCTTGGGAGTAGCACAATCGGCGATGCTGTTTGAAATACCTGCAGCTCCCCAAGACCTGTGAATCGCCATTGGCCGTTCTTGCAGAGGCGCAATTTTCTTGTTTCCTCCGATGCAGAACCGTCTCCTCGCCCCCAGTATCACTGCTCTTGTTACCAATGGCACATGCGCTTCTCCATGCAGGTATTGATCTGATCAACCACGTTACTCCCGGACTACTGCCATGGGAGGTCCTCAGCTTTGCATTGACGCGCTAGTTCACTTTGTATCGTGGGGCGTACTCTGTACCGTTGGCTGCGGTGTCATGTGCCGCGACCTGGGCAACAGCCAGGCTGCGGGCCTGGCTTCAATCCTAGGCTCGGCGCTGCAACTGCAGAGAAGGGCTTTCTACCTCTTAACTTGACCGAAACGGATCCTGCAACCGCTCTAACGATACTCATGGCTACCCGCGCCGCGCGTGTGAGTATCCACGGCGTCCGTCCGCCACCTCTAGGCAAGATGAAGTCATCCGAGCAGGATCTCATGTTAACCTGAACATGTCGCACCACCGAAACGGTACCTAGGAAACGGTTGAGGCGTGAAAGTTCCCATCACCTGCCACTAGAGCGCTGCTCTCTGCGGCCGTAACCTGGGTCAAGCGGCGGTGGGGGGAGGGGCAGACAGCAAGTTGCCCGAGTTAGAAGTTCACCTGTCAGGCCGGCATGTAGTCACGGTGTTGGTCTTTCGAAAGGTGCCGACCTTGGTGTGCAGGCTTGTCTCAATACCAAAGCTTTGAGAGAGAGTCCGTAGACGAGCGGGTTCAGCATCCCGTCGCGTTTAACGGCAGTTACATTGCAGCCACCATAGCCGAGTTTAGCGAGTCACGCTCATCACGGGGATAGAAAACGTCTCGAACCTGGTTGTGAGAACCAAACAGCCTCAGTAATGGCAATGATCGCCAAAACAACTCTTACGTGGCTACCAACCCCAGACCCCATTGTCTGTGGGTACGATAAAGAGGCCTCAACGACATGTCGTCCATTTTTGGTAGTCATGAGGCCTCACAATGCTTCTCGGCGTCTGACCGGAGGATGGAGCGCGATCGCCATGCCTGCGCCCCTTATTTGGGACGAGAAGATGTCACCTCAACCTTGCCAGTCACCGAATTAACTAGGTAGGTAGCCAACAAGATGCCGCCGCGACAGATGACTCGGGGCCAAGAGAACGCATTGATTTGGCCCTGGGTAGTAGGACCTAAGCCACGTTGAGAGATTCACATTCCCAATGAATTGGATCTCGATGTTGCCGACTATCTGCTTCGTCATTTCCGACTTCAACCAAGCCTGGGCTGGCTACGGAACTATCTTTCGGCTTCGCAACCTTTCGACAGGCGGACCACTGCCGATGCCTCTATTGTCCTCGCCCTCCATTGAGGTAGGTAGGGAATAGGTTCAAACCTCCAGCAAAATGTGGGCAAGGTTGCCTCCGCATACCTACCTACTCACAGCACACCTAGTGAAGAGAGCCGTGACGAAGTACCGCCGTGGGACTTCGCCGTTGGCCATCATCTCTCCGCAATACCCGTGCTTCCACCTGCCTGATCGCCTCTGCTAGTCGATTACCAGGCTGGATGGCTTCGGGTCTTAAATGAGGTAGGGAGCCGTATCTTGTATTGGATGAGACACTGGACTAGAACGCTGGCCTGCACCGCGACGTTGGATTGACAGCCCTCAGGCAGCCCGTATATTATCACGCCGATAATGATTCAGCTGGCCTTTATAACGACTGCTCCTTCTCACTTGAATGATCAATTCACACCCCGAGACTTAGGTCGACCCGCACCTTATTTTAACCCATCAAAGTATGATCGCGTGCTCGTGTGCTCTCCTCGGCCAAGGCGCCGGCACGAGGTTGCGCCTCGCCAAATAAGCCAAACCGTACGCGTAGGTATTCCAAGTAGCGGCTATATGGCTTTCAACGAACGACTGAATATATGAATATGCGTTCGAAAGGCACGGTACAGTGGTACCAAGGTGTATTTGTGTTCCAACTGCTCTCAGCCCCAGCCCCAGCGGATCTCTTCTGTACTGGAAACGAATATAGGCCATGTGGTTGTTCAAGCGCCTTCTTACAAGTCATCTCTACAGTTGTTTGTATCTTTCTGACCGCCTCTGTCATATATTCTCCCTATTACCATACCCTACTTGTAGCTTTGAGTGCTGCATTTTTGACACCAACGGGCGATGCCGTTGAGACTCCTGGTGCTGCGGAGCTGCTCCGAGGCTTCAACGACCAGGCTACCGAGGCGCTGGAGAGGGCCGGAGAAAGCTCAGAGCGTTCCGTCGATGACTGCTCCCTTCATAATGCCAATGTACGCAAGCACTGGTCAGTGATTCCTCTTTTTTGCACCCCATAGCATGCCCCGTCACAACGTTCGAGGGTATCATTCTTCATCATCTATCAAGTTGAGATTGACTATTCATGAAGGGATGGTCTGTGTCTCAGCGAGAAGGAAGCATATGTCAGCGCAGTTCAATAGCTCCTGACTAGGCCGTTAAAGGTCGATTCTGCGGCTGTTCCTGGTGCTCGCACTCGATATGATGACTTTGTAGCCATCCACATCAACCAGACATTGAGCATTTATGGGACCGTACGTGCTACTCCTCAGGTTTAATTGAATCATACTGGTGCTCATCGTCGTTAGGAACTTTTTGACATGGCACCGGGACTTTATCCATTCGTACGAGACGGCTCTGAGAGACGAGTGTGGGTACGCGGGATACCAACCGGTAGTTTAGTCCCTCCCTATCTCCTCCTTGCCATCGAGACATCCGCTAGCCAGATCATAGTACTGGAGTTGGTTCAAGTATCGAGATAATCCGACCGAAATCCCTTTATTTGACGGCAGCGAATACAATATTGGCGGTGACGGTAAATTTTGGGAACAACATGGCAGCACGGCTGACATGGACTTTGTCAAAATCCCTTCGGGTGACGGCGGCGGCTGCATCACGACTGGCCCTCTGCCCAAGTGAGATCGATGTTCCAATTTGTACCCATCAAACCACTACGGCACTGCCAACTTGTTTCTAGCTCGACCACCAACATCGGGCCCGTACGACCTGGCAGAAGCGGCGTCAAGGCAAATCCTGGAGGTCAATTCGCTTACAACCCCCGTTGCTTGAGACGCGACCTGAACTCCCATACGCTCATAGAGTGGATGACCGCAAAGAATCTCATCACCATGACTGTGGGTGACGCCAGCCATACCATTCTCTCATTCCAGAATGAACTCCAGGGCCGGTTTTCGGGTGGTTTTGGGGGGATGCACGCTGCTGGTCATGCTGTTATCGGTGGCGAGGCGACTGACCCGTTCTCATCGCCAAATGACCCCTCCTTCTTCCTCCACCATACCATGATAGATTATTTGTATTGGATCTGGCAGACGCTACATCCGTTGCAGGCGGACCAAGTTGCGGGCATCATTACGATCCTGAACAATCCTCCCAGCCGGAACGCAGTCAAGGAAGATACCAACTTTGTGGGCGTGCTGGCGAAAGACGTTACTATTGGACATTTCATCAACACCCTCAGTGGAGAGCCGTTGTGTTATGTGTATGTGTGAAGACCTGCCTAGGCCTTCAGCAAAAGTATTGGATGGTATTCACCAATGTAAGACATCTGTTCCAGATGAGGTCTTTTTCATGTCTTGAGCCGAATCTTGACTGTAACGACCAGAACTCAAGCTCCCGCGCCGTTATTGTTTCTTGATCCCGATCTTCGGTCACTAGGCAGATTATTGGCAGTCAATCTTGATTTTTATGTCCATCGATTTGTCTTACAACCAATGCCACTGTGCAACATGTCATTTGGAGCCATGTCGACCTGCACTTGGTTGGTGCCGAGGGGAGAAAAGGGGGGCGGGGTACATTGTACGGAGTTGAGATCAAGAGTAACATCTTGAGATCGTACTACTCAGGGATCGTATCACTTCACCAATTTTGGCATGTGATCTCGGCCACCGGGGAGTACGGATGAGGCGTCTGCATCAGTCTTATACCATTTCTTGATCTGCATTATTATTTCCCGTGTCGAAGGGTCCGGCAGTCCGGCAGAATGTCTCAGCTTCACCCATGTCACACCACACCTCATGTACCATCCCTCAGACCCTTTCGATAAGCACCCTCGTGTCTCATAA